GCGAGAAAAAAAACCAAGCTGAATAGAAATAGTGTTCAAAACCCTCGTGATAAAAATTGTTGACTTCATAATCTTTTGAAATTCTGAAAATGTGTCTTTATTTTTCCGCTCAATTATTGATGATTACTCTTTACTCTCTTTATGCTTGTTGTGTGTGTAATAAATTTTAAGGCAATATTCTTTCAACCATTCAAGGTCATATTTCGTAATCGAATTCTTAATGTAGTTTTAATAAATATTATTGTGTGACATAAACTGCTGTGTATAAGCCGAGAATTTTTGGAACTTTTTAATAATGGGGTTGGCTTATACCCGGATCCGTTACTCAGGGAAGAACATATTTTAGGGAAATAAAGGTGTTTTTTTTTTTTTTTTTTACTTTTTCCGTTTGTCATACGCAAGCGATTTCAATTGCTTAACTTCTCTTGAGTGTTCTGTTTGTAACTGTTGTTTAGTTGTTGTTACTAATGGCACCTGTCTGAAAATATCAGATCGAGGCCCACGAAATTCATCGTGGCAAAGAGCTAGATGTATGTCGGTCGTTATTCGTAGCTTTGAGCACCAAACAGGTGAAGAACGATTTAGCTTCATTCCACCACAATTTTGAGGAAGAACACGCTGGGAGTGGTCAGGTCCTTCCACCAACCTCACAAAAGGACTTGCAGCTCGACGAGCTACTTAAAGTACTCCCATGTCGCGAAGGTACTATACATTTACAAACATCCATACCTTCTAGGGATTCAAACCCAGGCCCTACGGCACAACAGTCAGTGTTGCTAACCACTGTACCAAATGGGCTACACTGTTATTTTAAAAGACAGAGGGGAGTGGTGGGGACGTCGCATAAATCAATGTCACAATCCAAGTTTCCGAATAGTATATGAAATTCTTTTTTGTGCATTTGATCATCTTGCAGGTAGTTTTTCCTCCACAGCATGAAACATAGGTTGACAATCACGAGCCATATACGAATTTCTCTTAAGGCTCGTTTTCCAAAGTATGACTAGTACAGGTATTATACAAGATAAAAAAAATGAAGGAAAAGATTGTTTTAGTTTCAGATAGGAAGGATTTCCAGCAACAAAATTATTGTCGTTGTCCTATTACTTTACTGTTATTTGATAAGAAAGTATTCTACAGATTTTACGCGCTTAGAAACTGTTTCACCTTTATGGTAATACTTACGAAAATTAGAACTTTTTTTTTTCGATTTGGATAAAATAAGGGCTCAGAAACTAGGGTTAATTTCGGAAGAAAGAACACATTCTCGACTTACACATAGATCTGCTTGTGTTCGAAAATATACAGTTGTGCAAGTTAAACTATTAAAATAAATGTATTTAAAGTAATAAAGATGCAAAAAATATAATCTCCAGCAGGCTTTTAAAACTCTGAGCAGTTTTTAAGCAATTTTAATACTGTAATGCCAGGTTTGAGTTAACTAATTATTGAATAAACTAATTTTTACGCTACCTGGAGCTTCAGGTAGAACGTCATTGGCCACCTTACTTAATTATTTGCACATTTCATAGTATCATACGCAGTTTGGTCCCTTTCGAATGACTCTTTGGTGCGTCATGGCCGCGATTTCCTAGAGTTTATGGCCATGCATGAACTGGTGATTAACGTGTCATAAGTTCGTTCCATAGTGCCTCCGAAGCCCCGCCATGTAGAGGGGCTAAAGCACGTGAAATCTGCCGTGGCTTACAGTCCTCCCGTTGACGTGGTTTGGTAGTTTGAAGCGATACTGCCAGCTCAAGTATTTTCCTCGTTACTGGACAGAGGTTCAATATTACAAGGGCTTCGCCAGCAGTCCTCGTATTGCTTTAGGAAGAAACATTAACCCCTTTTCGGTTTTTCCCGAGCTGAGTGCGGGCAGAGGAAACTTACCATCCTGGCTCATATGAAAATTTACGTCTTGAAATCGGTCTTCCCCGAATAATTTCACATGTGCTTTTTATGGTTTCGAATAATCGAAAAGAACCCATTGGAGGAATTTTCTGCAAAAAGAGGACGTGCTTCTGCTGAGCACCCTCCTTCACGATTGTCTGAAAGTCACCTTGCAAAAAACATTCTATCAATCCAAAATGACAGTGAGTTATTTTCTGCTGAAAGTGAGACAGAAAATGGAAGGAGGAAAGAAGAGAAACAAAAAAAAAAAAAAAAAAGATTCAACAGTCCAGTCCAGATTGCTATGTTGGGTTGTGGGCAGCAGTGATCTCAAACCCCCTGTCCGTGGACCAAGTAGTGCCGGTCCGCACAAGTAATATTAAATTATTTTCATTTTTTATGTACTGTGGTGTATTTCTCTATGGTTTTATGGTAATCACATTTTATGTACCATGTTAAATTCCTTAATATTAACTTCTTGGTGTAAATTTTTTTTATTCTTAAGGCATCTTTAAATACAATTAAACTAAAATTATATAATAAATGCTAAAATGTAAACAATCAACGTCCACCTCCTTCAGAGGGCCGTGGTAAAATTATCAAACGTTGACCGGTCCGCGTTGATAAAAAGGTTGAGGAGCACTGGTGTGCAGTACCTAGTTTTCGAATTTATCATATTCGATAAAATTTTGATTAATAATTTTATAACCATATATGTAATTATAATTCAAGATGAGAAAACTAAAACTGTGGGGCGCGCTTCCTAGGGGGTCGTGGTAATCCTATGTGGGAGGCGTGAGCATATCGAAAAGTCGAAAGTAAAAGATTATTTAAAAATATTATAAATTCACTGAAAGGAAGCAAAACAAAGCACAGTATGACGCAGTAAAAAATAAAATACGCATTTATATGATATTATACTTATAAATGTATCAGTACTGCTCACTTTATTTGATAATTAATTTAATCATACCAAATTAAGAACAAATTTAATAATTACCATTGAACCCATGGGCTTGTTATGTGTAAAATTATATGAAAAATTTAATACTTATTGTTGTCTTATTGCTGCCTTCGTATTGTAGTTTTAGCTTCAAAGGATATATATTATTGAATTCAATACATTATTATTGTATGGAGGTAGGGGGCGGCGAAAAATATGATTCAAAATTGCGTCGGAAACATTGGACATTTGAGAACCACTGTTTTAAGCTTTATATTTATAGTTCGTGGGAGCTGACTCCGAAGTCTGACGATTTCTCCCATACAGAAAGCCAACTTTACAGGTAAATTACTCATACATTTAAATAATTTTTTTTATATTAGTTATTTTTATATTAGGAAGTTTTTCATACGAATGGTGCTATTACGTTTAAAAAGATATGCATGTTAGAAAATAAGCATAAAAAAATCGACATTTTTTTAAGGTATCCGACTACATTCGGAACCGTGATTTTAAAAAGGCGTATAAATGGATAATTTTCACCATATTTAGTGTCACTTAGATTAGAATACATGTATAAAATTGTTTTAAGGACATTTTGACAAAAAAAAAGTTATTTAAATACAATATTTTGAATAAAAACTAACTTAGATTAACCTTTTTTCAAAATCTCCTTTCGTGAAAAATGCTTCTATTATAATACTATTTTGGCTGTATATAGCTCAGACCTCTGTACAGAGGCTCAACTATGATTTTTGAAAAATTCACATTATTTTCAAAATTACAACCATTTGAAATAATTATTGGCGTTTTTTTCTAAAAATTTCTCCCTCCTGTTGTCGTAAAACATGTATAAACCCACTTCTAAGCTATATATTTCAAAAATTCTAGTTGAGCCTCTGTACGGAGGTCTGAGTTACATACAGGCAAAATATTATTATAATAGAAGCCTTTTTCCAAAAAGGAGAACATTTTGAAAAAAAGGTTATTCTAAGTTAATTTTTAGCCAAAATATTGTACTTAAATAATTTTTTATTGTAATACTATTCTTAAAACAGTTTCTTATACATTTTCTAATCTAAGTGACGCTAAGTATCATGAATATTATCCATTTATACGCTTTTGCAAAATCACGGTTCCGAACGTAGTCGGATACCTTAAAGGGAAGAGAAAGGGGATAATCAACTTTTACTCTTGCCCTTGATGTGCCACTTTTTATTTTGTAGAATGCATTTAAATTTTATATAATAACTTAAAAATTATTATTATAATTTTGTGCACGCATTTATAAAGCTAAACACTTGTATAGTACTTTTTTAGGGGCTTTTAGTTTGCCTTTTATTTTTATTGCGAGAAGATGCAGATGTGTTATTTAGCAATTTAGATAAGAAAAATTTTCAAATAGACACTTCTTTCTAAAAGGATTTTCTGTAATCTTTTTCATTAAATGTCGTAATATATTCAGTGAATTCTTGGACAATTTTCGAGTTTACTTGCCGCTGAAAACGAGACATTTCAAAATTTCTAAAATTACAAACTGACTTTAGCAGACAGAGGCCAAACACAGTGACGCACGCTTGTTACGTCATGAGGCGTTACGAACAGGATACGCATTGATAAAAAGTAAGTGAAAACGGAATGTCTAAAAATAAATCAAAAAATATTCGCGTGCTTGTGTGTTTGTATGAAAGTTTGTTTTTTCTTTCATGTTTCCATTAATTTAACTGAATATAAACAAAACCTTATCTTGTACTGAATTGACGGAAATGATAAACAATAAATTAGTATTGAAAATAAGATTATCAAACTAACAGTACCAAATGTGAAATTTACTTTTAAGACATCTGATTGTGTTTGACTTTGAAAAACCATATAAACACAGGTAATATTGAAAAAAAGTTAAAGTTAATTTCTACTTAGGTCAAGAAAGAACAATTTTAGTTTAGTTACTTTTCATTAAATAATTACAATTAATATAAATAGGTATATACATTGGACAAAGTCACACTATTAAGTAGCAAAATAGAAAGCGATTTTTCTTTATTTTCCTTTCTATATAGGGTGTTGCACTATTTTTTTTTGTTTGTTACTATTCATTCGTTCATTAAATTTAATTATTGCAATAAATTAGTATAGTAAAATGAAATCACATTCTCAGAAATCAGGCCATCCCAGGTGGGATTCAAAACCACGACTTTTGGATTAGAAGTCCAACGCGCTTCCCATTACGCTACAGGGACACAGCGAGCGAGTTTCCTTTTTATATATGATGTTGGACTATTTTTTGTTTGTTTGTTAATAATTATTCGTTAATCGATGAATACATATTTGAAAAAATGTTTTAACATCAAGTGTCATCCATTACAAGTTTTAAAAAAGTGTATTTGAACTCGAGTGGGTGAATTAAACTTTTTTTATTACCTATTAAAAAATTGAACAAGATATATGTATATATAAATAAATATATACAGGTAGAGTGTGAACTAATAGTAGGAATTGAATGAATAATTTTTTTGATTATAGTAAGTGTCTCCAGAATTAGAATAAGTATATAAAATTATTTTAAGAATATATATTATTATCATATAAAATATTGTTTAAACACAATTTTTTGGTAGAAATGAAAGAAATAAACAACACATTTTCAAAAAACTCTCCTTTTATGAAAAATTATTCGTTAACAATATTTGCCTTGTGTAGGAGTATAGCGAAGACTACTGTACTGAGCCTGGTTTAGGAGTTTTGATAAAGTATAATTTAGAATTAGATTTTATTCATATTTTAATGTATCAGAGTAGAGAAATTTTAACAAAAAAAACACCGATTATTACTTCAATTGATAGGAACTATGAAAATAATTTGAATTTTTCAAAAATTCTAGTTCAGGCTCTGATACTAAAGTCTTAGCAAATACGAGTATTATTATTATAGGGGCATTTACCCCAAAAGGAGAATGCTTTGAAAATATTCCATTGTTCCCCTTCATTTTTCGACAAAAAATTGTATTCAAAATACTTTTTTATTGTAATAAAATTCCAAAAAAAA